GAATTTTTGGTGGAGAGAGTGGAGACCAGAAGGAAGTGGAGTTTGTTTATTCATTCCACAAATATATGAGAGACCCCTGTGTATTTAGGCTGAACATCAGGCAGAGATGAGGCCTATGGGAGGGGAGCAGCCAGAAGAGGTTACAGAGGTGTTTGAAGCATGGTGGAAGAGCATTGGGCAGATGCCAGGAACATCTTAGAAGCCAAGATAGAGAAGACAAGCTAATTAACAGTGCCAAATAATACAAAAGACTAAAATTGGACAGCTGAGAAAATGCCTGTTGGATTTCATAAGCGGGGCATTGGTTCAGCCTGCAATTCAGGAGAACTGGGTGTTTTGGAGCCAGACTGCAGGGGATTAAGGTGTCAGTGTGGAAGAACAGGAGGGAGAGCATGGAGATCAGTAGTCAGCCCCCCAAATTTAGCAAGAAAGGGAAAGAGAAATAGGGGTCCAGTTTTAATTCTGACACGTTCTCATCCCTGGTTGTAGAATAGAAAAGACTTTTTGGAAAAATTAGGTTTTGAATGGAAGATTTGAAAGTGATATGAAGGGTTGATGTTATGATACCGTATCAGCTGTAAAGGAGGTGAAGTTGGGCAACTTAATGATACAGGAGATGATAGACATGCCTTTAACTAATCTTTGCTAGAATGGGAAAATGAGGAGGGGCCATTTGAGAGAGTAAATTTGATTATAACAAATGAAATGACAGATGACTAGAAAAGATGAATAACTTTTAAAGATGTGATGATTGGATACGGTCATGCATGGCCCTCTACTTTTTAGGCACTTTTTTCCAGCTTTATGGAGGGATACTTGACAAATAAAATTGCAGTATATTTAAAGGGCATGACAGGCTTCCCATTGCATGGAATTTTAGGCATTTTGAAGCAGCCCCACCATATCTCAGTGGTTAGGAACACAGACTTTGTAATGATGTTTGAATTCCACCTGTGGGAACTTGGGCAATTTAACCTAAGTCACTGTGTCCTTATTTGGACAATAGAAGGTAGTAGAACCTGCCTGATAGGAATATTGAAAAGAATAAATGAGATAAAGCATGTACACTGCCAGGCACATAGGTAACACTTGGTACATGTTGATAATGATTATTGTTTGTGTTAATATTTTGGGCCACCCGGAGTTAGAATGAGTATTCTAGCACTCCTGGCTGCCTCTGGCTTTCAAGGCCTGGTAGATGTTGACACTGGAGCCAAATTGCTATACCACCTACATGTTGTGTGATCTTGGGCAAATTAACATTTCATACCAGTTTCCTCATCTCTAGAAAGGAGATAATAATAGTATCTACTTCATAATGTTGTTGATATTAAATGAATTTTTATATATTAGCTAAGAATAGTGCTTGCCACATGGTTACTGTTATGCAAACAGTTGTCATGTAAATGAAAATGAGTTCTCTCTGTGTTATTGTTGCTGTTTTTATTTCTGGAGGCATGGTATCTCATCCTCTCCTGCTGGCAAGGGAAAACTCAGTGCCGGCAGCAGTTGGGTGTTAGGGTCAGCATCTTAAAAGAAACCTTTGAGAGTTCATCTTTCTGAATGGTGATGATGCCCACGAATAGGGTAGGTGGCTGTCTGCCTGGAATGATATAGGAGCAAACCTTTCCTTAGTGCCTGCAAAGCAGATACAGTATCGTTCAGCCAGAGTTGGCCTTATTGTTTGCACTTCTAATTTTTTATCAACTGCAGGTGGCAGGTGTGTTTTTCTACCTTCACTGGTCCCTCCTGATTGAGCAAAGAGCTTTGAGGTTTTGTGTGTTTAATGTGAAGTTGACACATTCTTGTCTGTCTGAACCTTTCTGGCCAAATTAGGAAATGGAGGATTAGTATGTAAATCAGGGGAATTAAGGCCAATTTGGCATGCTGGGGAGGCCAAAGCAAGTGTTGGGGAAGGGTCAGACTGTCCCTCTGTTGTTAAGCAGTATTGCTTTGATTCTTCACATTAACTACGAGTTACACAGTTGCATTTCTCTGATAGTTGTCAAACCCACCCAGTTTCCTAAATATCTGGACATTTCATTATCCACAGATTGATTTTGGAGAACTTTTCTTTTTTTCCCCCAAAGTCCTCAGCTCAAACAAACCTTTCTGCTGGCCTATTATTTTTGCCAAGCCAAATTGATGACTTTGGAAACATAACACAAGGACTCCTTAAACTAATGTTATATTTGAATGCTTGGAGGAAGATCAAAAGTCCTCTTTAATATGCGCATTCCTTTGGCACTCGTGAAGGCGGGTCCATAGGATGAACTACCTGTGTGCCTATAGAAGGGTCCCATTTCTCCTATGACTACCATCCAGAGACCACTCAATTCATTTCAATCCATCTTATCTTCACCGAGGAAAACATACCTTTCTGCAGGGCCCAGACAGGATAAGGCAGACCCTGCCCAATGCCAGATCTCCAGACTCCTCATTTCTTCTGCTGGCAGCCAGACCTCTGACTATGACATGCCCAGAGACAGCCCCGCTTTGCATTCCCTCAAATGCCCTGAAGTGAGGAAAGAGAATGTGATGTCCTCATAACCTTGCTGGTAACTTTCCTGAGTCATGGAGGAACAGCAGCTGCCAGAGCCTCCAGTCTCTTAGGAAAAGGCAGCTCTCAGAGGGGAAATGGGGGTGGGTGGGGTTTGGGGTCCAAACACTACTGCTCAGGAATTTGGTTGATTCTGCACATCAGCCCAAATCAGGAATTTGGTCGTGTCAGGTTTTCTTTGCCTCCATCTATTGATGAACAGTACTTTGGTGTGATGTGCTTCTGTCTAGGAAGTATCCTGATTTTGCTCTCATGAGGCCAGAGCTTCCCAGCTCCAGGCTGGTGAGGCCTTCTAGAAATCCGTGGAACTTTGCTAGATGGGGTCACTGCTTTCCTCTCTCCTCTTCTCCAACCAGGATAACAAAAGTGATATTGATTTTTATCTTGGCTTTGGGGGTTTACTTTTAACTATTCTGAACTTTGTGATGTCTTAAAATTGGTAGACAGATGGAGATTTGTAGATGAAACCTCCAAATCACTGATGGTACTGGTTTTCCCTAGTGAGAGAACTGGGACATCAATTGCGTGGCTAGATCTTTTTGCTTGCTTAGGAGTTGGGCATTGTTTAATCTAGGCCACTGAGAAATGTCCCCAATCATCTCCATCCATGGTTAATAATTTCATACACTTAGGTACAGTCACCTGAAGCAGTGAATATGGATCAATATATTGTTCCCAAAGCTAATATAACAAGGCCTGGTACCTCTGGTTGTTTATATTATATGGCTTGCAGTTAAAAAGTCAAAGATTGCAGGGGAGGAAGGCACTGCCTGGCATGGGGTATTAAAAAGCCCCAAGTAAGGTCAGAACAAAGTCTCCTTCCAGCAGGTGGGAACAATGAGATTTCCACGCCAAGATGGCAAAAGTGAACTCCATGTCGTTCTCTAATTTCAGGACATGTGAAGGGGTGCTACATGAATGTGTATCTCAGCTTCACCTGCAGCCTAAGCATCTCCAGCCCCTCTCTGTCTCAGACCACAGAACAAGGATTGTGGACACTTGTTTTTGTTTAGTCCTCACATGAGATACTTCACAGGTGAAAGTAGTCCAAGTCTTAAGACTACTTAAATGAAAGTGTCTCATTTTCAGAAAGGCATTTCCTCTTTAGAGTGGGACTTGTTCCTTATGGCTCATTAGATTAAATGTCCTGTTTGCTTTAATAACTCAGCTGATGCCAAATACTAAGAGCTACAAATACCAAGTCTTTAATCATGCCAGTGACAAGGTGCTGAGAATGCCTGAGTAGCAACTGCAGTTGCATCTCTGCAGATTACCCATGTAAGTGGGGGATGAGGAGATAGGGTTTATTTATTAAACATATTATAGGACAGGGTCTTTGTTAAATCCATCACATGTATTTTTTCATTTAATATTTAAAAGAGCCTAATGAGGCAAGATTTGTTATGTCTATTTCATAGAAGAGAAAACTAAGGCTTAGATTATTGGCAAGAGCCACAAAGCTTATGAGATCAGAGCTGTGTGCCCACTTACTGGACTCTGTGCTATCTTGCTAGGCAGAGAATACAGAGTATCAATCTTATTGCACAGAACCTTCTAGCATTCTGCCAAGGCTCCACATGACCACTTCCTCTTTCTGTTCCAGGAGGAAAGATTCTTAAAATCTTTAAAGAAAACCTGTAAACCCAGCACTGGTCCATTGCCTGATTATAAGCCAAACAGTTTTCTCATGCTAGTTTAACATTGGGGTGTGTTTTTAATAAAGGGCTTGGTAACCAGAGGGCTTGTGAGGATGTGATGAAAAATAAAGTTTGTTTGCTAGAGTTGATAACACCATTCCTCTGTGCATGAGTATTCTTTGGGCAAGATCAAAATCATATGGGCCCCCTACTCAGGTGTACTAACTCTCACAAACAAATCTCTTTCTAAGGAGTTGTGGTGTTGGAAAGAGGAAGCTATCCTGGATTAGTTTGGCCAGGTATTGATAAGAATTTTTATGAGCTACTATCCTCTCAGTGGGGCACACGGAGCTGTCCATTCCTTTGTTGTCTGTCACAGCCTAGTGAGGCCACAACCCTGTTGTGACTCAGGTGCCAAGCAGGACCAGGCAGTCGTTTAAAGAGCTCTCTGAAGACAGCTGTCTGTAGTTAGTAGTCACATTTCAGAGGGCAGGCATGGTTCTTCAGTGAAACCAAGTCCCCATCACACTGAGGTAAGACTCTCCAATACAATAACTTCTAACCAATTCTGCCTTCCTTTCACCTCAGTCACGAAATAGGACGAGCTGTTTATAATTTATGGTGCATCATTTCAGCCTTGTAATCCCCACTACTTAGCATTAAGAATCAGGTTTTTTCTCAAGCCAGGTTTTTTCATTCTTGGGGATAAACAGTTTTGAAAACGATAATCCATGTACAATCTGAATTAACTGACCATGTCTCCACCTTACCACACCCACCCGAGTGAGTGAGGTAAAAGAACAGATAAAGGAAGAAAAAGGTAGGGAAGAAAGAATGACGGAAATGTTTATTGAGACTGAAATGGAACATTGTTCTTTTTTATGAGGTAACAGCACAGTCTGTTAAGAGGCTGGTTACAAACTCACTCCAAAATAAGGATAACCTGCAGTTCACGAACAGCTCTGCCATTCAGCCTAAGATAAATTATTGATTGAACTGCATTTTTATTCAGGTTTACTTCCTCTAAACACCACCAATATTTGCATTGTAAAACACACTGACTCACTGCTCCATATTTATGGTGTTTACATGACAATTCAGTATCATTCTCATACATCTCAGGTGGAGGTGGTCAATACTGAGCATTTATTTACCTTTCCATGATCTTTGGCACATTTTCTGGTTTCTTCAATATAAAAGCACAGGCTTGAACTGGCTACTCACTACTGCAGAAACAACTATTTTGGATCTCAGTGTAAATACAAGTTTATGTTAAACATTATTTACAAGGTGAGAGCTGGAGCACAGACTTTAATAAGCTATCATCATAAATTAGCAGGAGAATGACAGGTGATGGATTTTAATGAGCAGGACCAAGATTACTAGACTATTAGTTAGAACACTTCTCCCTGGAGGATACATGTTTCATACAAAGGAAGAATTCCCTCAACCACTGATACCAGTGTCTCATATTATGGGATTTACTCTGCAGGAATCCAGGGTAGGGACAGTGCTTTTCTGGCCAATGTGGCTTGTTCAAACCATCAAACCCATATTAAAATACAGCTTAGCCTGTAGCTTGCCACTGTTGATTGGGTTCTGATGGGTACAAAAGGCAAAATACCATCACTTTTAGGAGAGTTTAATTGATCTTGGAAGAATGAAGGCTTCCAGTTGGATAAAATCCAGCCTATGTGAGTGACACCTTTGTATATAATTTTACATAGAGCTAATATGGATTCTCTCCCAGCAGTAGAATATGGAAGTTATAAATGAATCACTACGCCACCTTGGAGTATCATCATAATACATCTCTGCTTTGGGGCTGATACACAGACATGAAATGATCAAACAGTATGATTTCTCATTTTGATGCTTTTGAAAGGGAGTTCTGATAAGCCCCAAAATGATCTGGACTGAAATTGTAGTTATTATTCAAGTACAAGGAGAACTCTCTATTTCACATTGACAGTTCAATTCTGATCTCTGGAAATTATATGAAAAAAAATAAATATATACATATACACATATATATATATATATACACACATATATACACACATATGTATGTATGTGTATATATATATATGTATATATCTAGCTCTATACTGAACACTGGGGTAATGGTTACCAGCGTCCCAATACAGTACATTGAAAAAAGAACACTCCTCCCTTCCCCCAAAACCCAATACCCATCTTAATACTTATTGCAGAACTGTGCTGGTCATTTTTTTTAAAGCAGTTTCTTTGAAATTGGCTGGAGATGAGTTCAAAATAGACAACTTGGCACATTAGTGGGAGGTAGGGGAGGTTGTTTGGATGTATTATAATCTATGAAAATGTGAGAGATCAAAGGAAATTCATGCCAATAGGAAGTCTGAGTAAAAATTTGTAATCAATGTAAGTATTTTTTAAAACACCAAAATGCTGGTCTGTGCATAAGAAGGCAATTTCTCTTCCACATCCATTACCTAATTTCAACAGTTACTACTTTATACACTTCCAAACTTTTATCTTTCATTCAGTTTTAAAATTCCAGATAATACCATTTTCCTTTTCATCAATTTCCTTCTTCTTATCCCACCCCCGAATCCCAGAACCCAGAGAGCAAAAGCTGTGAATCCAAATATAGAAAATAATCTGGAGGTCTGTATATCAAATCAAATGTACAACTGGCCATTAGTGTTTCTCTCTTCCTTATTTAATGACTGACTCTGCTAAGAGATGACTCTCATGGAGGTGTCCTTCACTGTTCCCAGTCATACGAAGCCAGGGGCTCTAGAACTGTGAGGTCTGGGTGAATGAGATGGTGTCGGACTTGTCTACCGCAAAGCCTCCGTTGACATAGGACTTCTTGGTGTCTGCGTCTTCATTGTCAAGTATTGTGGATTCCAGGGCAAAGGGGTTCACAATGTTGACTTCAGACGAAATATCCATCTGCTCCAGCTCTGTCTTAGAGAGTTTCTCCACGATGCCTGTCCCGAATGCATCACCGAGGACGTTTACCATGGTCCTAAACCGGTCCCTGGGGAAGACAGAGGGAGAGTCAGACAGGACACCCAGATTTCACTTTCCTTTGCCAGTGGAGAGGGGAAAGGATGGAAGTGTTCGGTTAGGAATTACCAAGTGCAGAAAGCACTATTTTCATGGCTGGCTGACCAGAGGCTCCTCTCTTCTCAGCCTTGGGGCGGAAGGTGGTTCACAAGGGCACAGAATGAATAGTTTCTCTCTGGGTCTGCACTCCCAGTAAGTCACAGTGACTCCCCAGCACCAATCACCCTAGGTTCCCTCACAAAGAAATGTGAATAGCCTTTACGGATATTCTGAGAGACCTGAGGGAGGATCAGAAGTCAGTAAGTCTTTCACCCCTGACCTCTGTCTTTTGGGCATTTCCATGGTTTCATTTGGCTAAGGGGATAAAACCCTGTGGGTGGTATATGTGCCAAGTGGGAAAGTGTGTGTGTCTGTGGTGTACTCCTTTCTATACCATATGAGGTCCCACTGTGAGGGAGGCAGCACTGATGCTGCTGTGCACAGGGTCAGGAAACAGATCCATCTGGGCATGGCTTTCTGCTTGTGGCCCCCCTGCCAGCCTGGAGAAGAGGCTGGCAGCAGGAAGGTTTGCCAATGGAGAAGGCATACTGAGGGGATAGTGGAGCACTGTTCGTAGGCACTGTGTACCTCAATGTTCCTATGAAAACCACATCTGCAGCACAGAAAAGGCCAACAATACTCACACAGGTCCATTCTGGAGGTCCTTCTGTTATTTAGAACAAGGCCATGGATTGGCCTAGACCCTGGTATGAACCAGCTATTGTCTTTTTACTCCATGGATCAGACTGGACCTTTAACTTGTCTGGGTTTCTTGGAAGTGAATGTCATTGGTTTCAGGAACCAGGAAATGAAGAGAAGTACAAATCTGCCATCACCACGAGAAAGTAAAATGCAAGCACCTGTTTCAATGGAAGGGTGTCTTGGCAAGAAAACTGCCACCTTTGTAGGGCTCTATAGAGACAACGAGTTGCTGAGGGGGCCCCACATGGCCCAGCCTCTGCCTTTTGGGATGTGAGTGCATCTTCAAACCCACATGGACTGTTTCTGCTTTCCTTTTTACCATCTCAGCTGCTACCTGCAAACTACATAGGACTGTACTCTCCAGTAGACCTGGGCTGCTTCCAACTGAAGGCTCAGTATGGAGCTACACATATCCCTGGTGGCAGGGATAGAGCCAGACCTAAATGCCAGAGGACCAAGGCACAAAGTGGGAATCATGGATAAAGCTGGGACCCAGGCTCATTCTAACTTTAATCCTGGGGGTTGCAAAAGACAAGTTCTTACCCAGATGTGCAACTGTGTTCCCTTGCTCTGTGTGTGTGTGAGACAGAGAGAGCAAGTGAGAGAGAGCACATGTACTATTAGTTGAGGCCTGAAAGGTCCAACTCATTCTAATCCTAACACTAAAATTCCCTTTTTTGAGCACGTACTGCCCACTGTTCTAGACCAGTGAACTACAGTGGAGTATGCTGAACCTTTTCCATCTCACAGATAGTACAGCTGAGCCTCACAGAGGTTAAGGAACTTGCTCAAAGTCAAATAGCCAGTAAGACACTGAACGGGATTCAAAACCAATTAGTGTTACCCCAAAGCTTTGGCCTGTGCCACTACCCCTGACTGAGCTAAATATCTTGGGAAGATGGATGAACTTTGGACCAGGTAGTTCCGGACCTACGATGCTGATACAGGGCTGGGATAGGCTAGGGTGGCCTTTGGGTTTGGAATGTCTGCAGCCTTGCCTAGCTTCTTCACCTCATTATTTTACATTTATCTTATCCCACACCCAGCTCCTAACCTTGAGCATTAGCACGTATAATGAGCTAAGGCAGATCACAGGCTTTTAAAAATCACTGCTCACAGTTATGAGGAGTTAATTTTTAAGCACATTATCAGATGGCCTGGTCAGAGGGAAATCAGAGAAGCAACAGATGGCTCATTAGGCAATCCAAGCAGAGAATGATGACAGACTGCAGATTCCATGTGGCTTGGAAGCCTGCCTTCCCATCCGGCTGAGGTGGTACATTTATTCCAACTCACAGAAGCCAGTCGACAGCAATGATCAGGGTGACATCCTCAGCAGGCAGGCCCACGGCACTCAGCACGACCACCATGGTCACCAGGCCAGCTTGGGGAACGCCGGCAGCTCCGATGCTGGCAGCTGTGGCCGTCATACTGTAGCCAAAACAGGAGAGCAGTTAGCACACATTTCTCCTTTCAAGGCCCCTGGCCTGAAACGGTCAGTCCCGATGGTCATTACTGCTGTGTCCCCAGAGCGGCCAGTCAGCATCTGTTCTCTGCTGGGACCATCTAATGCTACCTCACTAGAGAGCTGCAGGAGACTGAGGGGAGTGTGATCTCCTGCCAGGACGAGATACCACAAGAACTTCTGATGTGAAGAAGTGGGGGAGAGCTGCCTGATTGGCATACAAGCAATCAGCAAGAGACATGTCCAAGAGGAAGGCAAGAATTTACCACCAGCCCTGTTTGCAGAAGGCTTTATCTCCCTATTTATGCATGCATCCATCCTGAATAAGCGCCAAGTAACACTTCACTTCCTTTTTTCCTCCCTCCTTCCATGCAAGTGCATCTAACATGCGCCAGGGATATTACTGACATCTAGTATATGGCAGGAACCTACATTGCCTTGAAGGCTGGTGGGATAGTGGCAGGTGTAGGCAGGCAAGGGCATTTCTGGTTAAGGCACAAGAATGAGGCAATGGGCAAGCGGGTTTTATGCCTTTTCTTGACATCACTAGTCTCTTGACCTCTCTGGGAGCTGCCCTTCATGGCACTGAATTGAGAAGTAGCTGTGACTCGTGTCTAAGGTATAAGCATTTATTCCTGTGTGCTCCTCCTTGCCAGTGCATACACTCCAAGCAAAAGGAAGTGGGACCGTGGGACCTGGAATCCAGACAGGCAGCCAAAGGAACATTACTGTGTATTGGAAAAGATCCCTCCTGGGCAGAGAAAATGGGGCACTAGGGATTTTTGTCTTTAGAACGTACGTTTTTTTATCAGCCACGTCTTCCTTAATCAAATCTGGTCATTTTCAGGGAAACAAGAGCTCACTATACCCTGAAAAGTCCCTGGATTTGGGTGAGCTTTAGGGGACACCCACTATGCTTTTTGGACACATGTTCTCATCCTTGGGTCAAGGATGCCACTGGGTTGAAAGGTGAAGATGTAGACACTGTCTGATCAAACCAGAAGAATCCCTGAGTCTTTCCACAAATATTCTTGTGGGCTCAAAGTGCCTCAGAGTTCTTACACAGCTGATGCTACTGCTCATTCATCTGCCTGGTGACGTGGTGTGGGCAGTGTCTGAGGGTACAGTCAAACCTCGGCCAGAGTTCTTTGCCATGTGTGTTTTCCTTCAGTGGCTGTGGCCACCAGTTTACAGTGAGAGCGAGACTTCTGGGGCTGTCCCAATTCCTCTAAAAGTTTCAGGCCTGTAGTAATCTTTAGATCTGTTCTGATTTAGGCACTCTTTGGAAAAGCTAAGTTTATTTCAGTGCTGGATGAAATCTGAACTGAATGCATTGGTGGGCTTTCTTGGTCAGAAGTGCTGTGTGCTCACACCCACTGACTCCCCTTGGCAGCCCCAGCACATCATGATGAACCACGTCTCGAGAGCCTAAGGCTGCGCTTGAAACCGAGGAACTATTTTGTCAAAGAAAACTCTGACCTTGGGCCTTGACCTTGCTTACTAAACTTCAGCCATTTGCCTGGCTTTGGTCTGAAACTTGGAACTGTGTATCTTTAGAAGGAGGAAAACATAAAAACCTATTCCTTCTGCTTGAAAACATTTTATTTGGAGTTGAGAAGATTTTGACAGAAGAAAATAGTACTCACTGGTAGAAAGTTCTTTCCTAGCATTGAGATCCAGTGTTCTGACAGGCTGCCAACAGGCCTGTCAACTACAGCAAGCACAGGTGTTAGGGTCCAAAAGAACCAGCTCTGACGTTTTACCAACTGCATGTCCTTGGGCAAATTAGTTCTCTGAATCTCCGTCTCTCGCCTGCATGTGGGGATACATGTACTTTGCAGGGCTGCTGAGCAGACTGGCTGAGAAAATGTATGTAAGCCATCCAGAACTGCACCTAGATATAGCAGATGCTGAGAAAACTAGTTCTACCATCAACGCTGCCAGTGGTTACCTCTATTAGTACAGAAACAACTACTATTACTGATACTGCTATTTTTTTTTCCCTGTAAGCTCTTTCTAGGCCCCAAATCCTGTAATTATCTTTCATTATAAGAAAATTTATCCTGTTTTCCACCAGTTGTAACCTCTGATAAGTGACTGTTATGATAAAACCACAAAAGTTGTGTTTTGGGCAAATGGAGCCTATGTTTCTTTAATGTCCAGTCCAAAGGACCACAGGAAGAGATAAACCATGAGCCCCAAAATCTCTTTAGCCATTAACCGTGGGAGCCACAACTGTGAACTCATAAAGTTAACCACAACATGTATGATTTCCTTCTTTTCCAAGAAGAGCCACAGAGGATTTTTAATTTTAAGTCAGTGATTATTCTGGACCACACTGTTGTTATTGGCTGTGGGCCAGCAGGTCTGATTTAAGAATATGCCAGAGCAGGGAGAGAGGGTTTTATGTGAATTGATTATTTAGCCTCTAGGCCCAAAGTTTGTTCCTTGAATAGTCAGGTTTGAAAAAAAGAAAAGGTTAGGAAGATGTAGGAAACTTATGACTAAGGCAGAGGAGGGGAATTCGTCAAAAATGGCAAATACCCTGAACAACTGGCAGCTCCTAAACCACTCCTGGGAAAGTGGTCAGTGCCAACTGGGCTCCACAAAGACACTTGGGAGGATGACAGTAACGACTGCTGGAGCCCCAGCTGGTCGCGGAACTTCCTGAGGTGTGATTTAAGGCTTTGGTTTTAATGTACCAGCTGCTGTTCAAACTACAGGCTTTACTCACGCTCCCCTGGCACAGGCTACTTCAGCCACTAATGCTTTCTATAGATGATGTAGCATTGTTACAATTTCCCAGCTGATGTGCCAAATGGTCTAGTTTGCACTTGTCTTCAGTTAATTTCAAGCAAACTGAAAGAATGATTTTGGGTTGGGGAAGATTTAAAGACATACTGTATTAGAATATTGCTAGAACTCACTTTATGCCTGGAATTTATGCCTATGCCAAGGCTGGGGTCACAAGAGTAAATTAAGTCTGAAAGGTTCAGATTCATTCCTATGCAGGCCTCGGGACCCAGTTTATTCTTAAACTTTCACTCTAAACTGAGCCAAAGTCTCCAGATAATTCTACTCCCAATCCATCACTTCAAATCAGTGCTGTTCAGTAGAACGTTCTACAGTGATGGAACGAACCTGCTTTTAGGATGAGTAGCTACCATATTGAACAGTGCCAAAGATTGTCTGAGACCTTTCCCTGAGCTCCCCATACAAAGCATTTCATGATATGATCCCTGCTTCCTCATTTCTCTGTGTTCTCCACATTGCACTCTTCATGTCAGCCATATCAAATGATCTGTACTCTGTAACCAGCCCATGGTTACATCATAAGCCCCTGTACATGTCATTCCTTTTATCCAAAATACTCTTCACTTCTTCTTTTGCTACTACATTCTTACTCTTCTAAGACTTTAATCTTGGGAAGGGACTTTGTGAACCAATAAAATCAATCCACTAGGGAACCATTCTTTATATCCCTTTACAGACAATTTTTACTTGAGATAATTTCAGTAACAGATGAAAATGAACGTGACCTCATACCCACCTGATCGTTATGACCTTCCCAATGTCCAAGTCCAAGTCATTCAACTGTGCGATAAACACAGCTGCCACTGCTTCATAGAGTGCAGTCCCATCCATATTGATTGTAGCACCAACAGGCAACATAAATCTGGTGATCCTCTTGTCCACCTGGTTCTTTTCTTCAACACAGCGGAAAGTGACAGGCAGGGTTGCAGAACTGTGTGATTAAAGAGAATGGAGTTTATGGCCCAGGTATGCTCGTGCCCCGTCCCTGCCTGAAGAGACAGCTCTGTTCCAAAATCTAAACCAAGAGCCCAAAGCATGCTGGCACTTTGACAGGTCCAGGAACCAGTCAGGGCTGTGCTTGCCACTGTCCCAAGTTACACCAGACCCCCTTCCATGCCAAGAGGGCAGGAAAATCCCCAGTACAGTCAAGAAGTATGTTCAAGGACAAGGGCAGAGAATATGGAATTTTCTCAAATTTAAAGGCAGCCTCAAAAACCAAAAGCTGCAGCCAGTGCTTCATCAAGTGAGGCGAGATTGATAAAGTGTGACTAGAGACTTCTTCCAGACACCCTTGTTCTATTTACCTGGAAGAGATCATGACAGCTGTCAGGAGAGCCTGGGCCATTCCCATGGCAAATTGGAAAGGGTTCTTCCGTACGACTATAAAATATATCAGTGGGAGGATTACAATGGAGTGGATTGCAAGCCTGTAAACAAGAGGGAGAAACAGGTTCATACATGATACCACTTCTTCATATTAATCCCTTTTTCAAATTGTTTTTTTATTCATGATATATCATGCACCTTTCATGATAACCCAATAAAGAAAATGAAAAATAGGGCAGGAATACATGTCTCCATTCCATGTACGAAGATAACGAGACTCATTCACCAAGTGAAATGTCAAAGATAGTGGCAAAGCTAGTAGCTGAATCCACATTTCAGAGCTCACAGAACATGGGGCCAAGCCCTGTATATGCCATTACTGTGACGTGTCCTAAAATAATTTCATTTCCTTCTGCTGCTAAGTTCTTACTTTCTCTAAGACTCAGCAAAACTTTCCCCTCTTCTAGGAAGCCTTCTGTTACATTCCCAGGTTGAGCTCTTTCCTCCTTGGTAACTCTGTGGAGCCATACAAACCTTTATTATAGCCCTTATTCCAGCACTCAGCCCCTCTGTTCCCTGGACCGTGCCGGACTGTGTCCACTGTCTAAGAAGAGAGTCAGGTCACAGTAAAAATGGAAGATGTCTCTGCTCTTCCACAGTCAGTCATACTTTAGGACTAACCCTCTGTTACTCCTGCCTATCAAAATGATTCCTTGTTTCATATGGAAATACACAGTTTGTACAAAACAGGTGGCTTAAGAAATAAGACCGATTCAGCAGATGCCATGTAAGTGGCATGTTAGAGTTTACAGATCAATTATGTGAAGGTGAAATAATAGGAAATGGTCATTGACAATACAGATCCTCTTGAAAGAGGGTCTTAGGACAGGGGGCCTGTGACTTCTATGATAGCTTCTGTAAGAAACTGACTTTAGTTTTCAGTCAGAAACCTAAATTAGGTGAGAAAAGAGAAATCAGCCAAACTCCATAATGAAATGGCTGCAAGTGCTTGATAAACTTTGGCTAAATCACCACCTGTAGTGTGTCTAGTAAGGCAGATGGCCCTGTCTCCCTTACCCTGGGACTTGGGATCTGACTCTGGCCCTCACACTGTAGAAGCCAGGCTGCTTCTCCACTGGCCAGCAGGGCTGTACTTTTGGTAAGCTGATTGCTTAGGTTGGATGTTTGGGGGCAAATTGACCTGTGGAAGTCAAACTGATAATGTTTACTCATTCCTTTCATCTAAATTTCTTGGCACCTATAACAATCTGCCCCCACCTAGATATCCAGAGTCACTATTTATAATGTGTCTCCCCTTAGGGAACCAACACCTGGGCTGAAATAAATAGGCAAATGACCTTCCTCCTGCTGCCTTCCTGCTTTACACGATTCCTACCGGCCTGAAGATTTTTCCAGCACCCTCCCTGACACTCTGATGATGCAGGGCTAGGTGGTTACAGCCCCACCAAGGGTTGAAACCAACCAGCCGTGCTGCTCCCATCTGCTAGAGTCTGAGTGCATTTGGGTCTTGCCTAATTCCTTTCAGGCTTGGGGTACATGGGGGTTATTCTTGCTTGCTTGGCTACTTTACATCCTTTGAGAAGTGAAGGCCAGGAAGAGCCATGAGAGACTACTAGTGGGTTTTGCTCTTGTTTTAAAAAATGACTTCTCAACTAATAAAGGCAGCAATCAGGCATGGTCTTGGCTGTTCTGCCAAGATGTGGCAATTAGCACAGTGTGGTCCATCTCTAGTACAGCTGTTAAAGGTGAGCCCTCCTCTCCTCTGCTGTCTTATCTCTGAACCCTATCTTTCCCTGCATGTGGGAGAGAAGCTGATATTAAGTGAAATGCAACCTCTCATCAGAAATCTATTGATCAGCTCAAATGAGATTTCTGTGTCCCTCTCTTGGGTCTGACTTACCCACTCAGAACGGTGACCACGTAAAGGCCCAGCTTGCGGAATATTTCCCAGTCTTCAACTTCTATGATCTTCCCAGCAATCAGGAACAAAATACCAAGTGGCATGTAACTGGAAAGTAAGCACAGCAAAGACACACTTCTGTCACCAGGTGCTTCCTCGGTGGGATTGCTGAGGAGGAAATCAGCCAGGGTGAGCACTTTGGTTCAGCATGTGCACCCAGCTGGGAGGGGCATGGAGTATACAGTGGAGCTAAAGTCTCAGTTTCAGGCCCTGGTGGATCAAAGTCACTCCAGGTTTCATCACCTTTGTGTACCTTAAATTCTACCCTCTTCAGCTACCAGTGGGGCAAACTTGTCAAGAGTGTGTGGTTGAACTGGTGCATGTCCCAGCCTTGATCCCAGCACACATACATCCTGCTGATTGTCACATCTGCAGATCTCACTTTAGCTTGATACCCCAAGTATGGCCACTGGGCTCACTGTTTCCCAGATAGTTGTAGCAGCAACAGAGTAGTAGACTTTGTAGTGGAAATGGTCATAATAGCTGTTTGTGGAGCTCTCATTACATGCCCCATGTTGGGTTAAATATTTTACATGCATCATTTCACTTAATGTGCTTCTTCCGACTCTATAGGTAGGCTTTAATCGTCCTTTTCTGAGGTTCTGCAGGATTAAGTGACTAAAATAACTGAACCTTTATGTCACTCTCAGTGTCTACACTGTGGGGTAAATAACGTTGAACCGCCTCAAAGCCAGACGATGGCTAACTTTCGTTAGTGAATTAACTCCTAAGTACCATGTGGAATTAATACTCTAGTGTCTTGATATTTAATGTTCACGTGAGGTCAGTTGAGAATTTAGCATGAGGTCAGTTGAGAATAACAGCCTCTTTGTTCTAATTTTGAGGTGATGTTGTCAGGGAAAGCGAAAGGGCATTAACAGGTATTTGCTCACCACATAATGATCTGAACGATTTTCATGGTTGCATCACTTAGAGCGCTGAAGAAATCCACCAGAATCTGACCCTTTTCTCCCATTTTTCCAATGACAAGTCCAAAGACGAGGCAAAAGACAATCAAGCCCAGGACGTTTATGCCTTCTGAATATGTGCCTACAACTTTGTATTCCTTTGTTTTGTTCTGTGGATGAAAACCAAGAAAATATATTGATGCATGACTATAATCTTCGTAGAATGCACAGGCCGTGAAATGAGAACATACAATAGCCAAACATAATAAACTATTGATGTCCCAGTTGGAGTCACTAATACTTTGGGAAATACAGTTAAAAAACGAAAACCAAACCTATGTGTGCCCCAACTTTCTGCCACTGGAGTTTAAAGTATTTTTCTTTCTCAACAAATTCATATTTAAATTTGTTTTGAAGATTTCTTATTCTGGGATGTTTTATATTTTTAGTAAGTATTTATATTTTATGTTTTATATTTTAGAATCAAGGCACTTTTTAGGGTTATTTTAACCACTAGCTCCATTTGGAGTTTTCTAAAAAAAAAAAAAAGGAATAAATAATGTAGGAAGCACAAAATATTTGCCTCTGTGAACATTTTTAGGACATTTTACTATCTGTTTTATTCTGATAATGAAGCACAGGGACATTCTTCACTGCCTCTAATCTTGCATGACCAACAGGATTTTAGAGATATGAAGATTAACTAGTTACCTACTTCTATGAACCATTTCTTTGCTTTATCCTGGATAAGAATAGCTTGAGATATACTGAGAGAGAACTTCATCTGAGTGGTGCAGCATGAGATTTACTGAGAGATTTCATAGGGAGAGGATGGAATCTGAGTTGGTTCAAGTCAGGTTTATATTTTGTTGATGAGCCACTGGGGTACCAGTCATTTTTTACTTATGATCTGATATGATCATACATGTATTTAGAGTGTGCTAACTGCATTGGCTACAGCATAAGGTCTTAAAATGCAGCAGAGTTGATAAGATTGTGAGAAAAACAAACCAGTGTAGCAAGATGGTGTGTAATTAACTGCACAGCCAAGCTATGAGTTACAGGCATCATGGAGATTGGGGGCATGGATGAGGGCTATGGGGTCAGGGACAGCTAGGCCTGAGCAGCAGGAAGCCAGGAGATGAAAGCGTACTCCAGAAAAAAGGTAAGCGAAGGTAAAAGTCATCATGCGCTGGGCCTCTGTACCCTGCTTGGCTAATTCCTACTCATCCTTTATGGCCCACAGACTAATTTAAACCTCCTTGTTGAATGCCCCAGAGAACCTTGTTTCTCCCTATTGTAAAATTCATCACTCTTCACATGAAGGCAGATTCCATGCCTGTCTTTCCACTGTTGTAATCCCAATGCCCAGCAGGGCCTGGTTCATGGAGGGCACTCAGAAAATCTTTGAGGAGCTACATGGAAAGGCAGGAATAAGGAGTAATTGAGAGGTGGATCTGGACAGAATAAAGAGGTCCCCTGGGAAGGAAGCTGGGAAACTAGAGGGAGCCAGGTCATGGCGGCACTGAGCCAGTCAGAGGAGTTAAGGCTTTCTGCAGTAGGAAGCAGGAAACCAATCGTTTATTTAATTCCAGTGACTACTTATTTTTTCTTAACTCCTTCAGAGTTAAGAAATATCCAGGCAGAGAACATCCAGGAGAAATCTACTACAGGACTATAGATGGACTCCTTTGGGTCCACTCTCTCAGATTAAAAACTCTAAGCTCTAATGCTGAAATCCCCAAAGCTCCCAAAGCCACTGGTTTTACTGGTAAGTGTGTAGTGGCAAAACCAGTCATGAACTGTGATGAGGCTTTCTACACTGTAGTTCTCTTACTTGGCAGAATATTCATGAGTCTGTGCAGAAATACCAATGTGCTTGATTCTAGAACATTACTGCCAATCCCACTTAAAGATGTTGCATAACGATCTTACTATGCTGATGGACAGTGACTGCAATGGTGTTTGTGGGAGTCTTGATAATGTGGGTGAATGTAGTAACCACAGTGTTGCTCATGTGAAATCTTTGTAAGATTGTATATCAATGATACCTTAGTAATAATAAAAAAAGATGCGGCTTGATGTACAGTACATACATTATACATTGCATGGTCCATCCAATGTGAAAAACTCTGGACTCTGAGTCAGATCTGGGCAGATAGTTTCTGAGAAGGAACTCTGGGCCTGCATTCGTTTTTATGTAGCCTGGCAAATCTACAGCAGTTCCCAGAGGTGCCCAACTCAATTCTAAGGCAGGAAGAGATTCAGAGGCAAGAGGCCTCATTTTTTTTCTCTGTGTGGTTCTCATTATTCTCATTATTTTCTCATTATTCTTGGTAGTTGTATTCTACAAAGTGGTCACCAGCACTGAATTAGCAAATATTGACTCATTGTTCCCAGGGGAAATACAGGATAAGGTTCCTGGGAACCAACAGTCACAATATTTTCATTAAAAAGTCAATATATGTCCTTGCTTTATGTATGTTTCTGTTCAAAGAAACCTTTATTTAATATATACTGTTGAGTTATTAACATTGAGCTCAGAGCCAACCCACTGTAACTCATGCCTGAATAAAGCTTGTCTAACACACATGTATTTATTCTCTGTAGGGCATGTCACAGCTTTCTTGCACTTAGAAATCTTAGGCAGCACTGTAGCACTATGGTTGGTGGACATGTTAAATAGTGAAAATCACCATGAAAAAGCACAAATATGTGAAAAATGCAGCATAAACACACCACAGAAAGGATACTTGTTGACAGTCTGAAAGGTGAAATGAGAAGGCAGAGCTTGGTCTTGTTTAACCTGGGCTGGGAAAGTGCACATTGTAAGACAGTATTCAGTGTTCTTTGCATGTCCGTGACTGTTGCAAAAGTGCCCTCTGTGTTAATGTGGGGATCTGAAGGCTGCAAATACGTTTTAGTAAGCAGGTGAATTCACAAATGCAGAATGTGAATAGTGTGAATAATGAGGATCAGTGTATTTCCATCTCCTGCTTGCTCACCACTCAGCCCTGCCTGCTGGGGAAGGGGTGTGAGCAGCAAGGAGGAAGGCAGTACCGTGGCAATGACAGTTGTCGTAGGGGCTGTGACAGACTCTCCCAGCGCGCTCGTCCCTGGCTCACTGGAAGGCTTCACTTCTTCACGCGTGGTTTTATACTGCACATTGGAGGGAATAAAAGGATAAAGAAACAGTGTTTAAGTTTCTGAGGCTAAACCACAGAAGTGTGTTACTTTGGCCAAACGAGTGCTCCTGAAGGGCTCTACCTTTGTCGCCTCTGTTGGCTCCCGGCTTTGACAGTAACTCCTATGAGCCTTTGGAAGCAAATCCGGGATTGAGAAACCCCAAAGAAAGCACAGGTTTTATTGGTAGGTGTCTCAACAGACAGACTCTGCAAGGATCCTGGCAGTCATTTTTGTTTCTATTTATTCATTTATTATTTTTAATCTGGAAGAAATACCTCACCACTTAGATGAGTGTAGTTACCATGACTTTAATAAACATAAGAACTATATGGTTCCCAAATCAACAGTTCCTTTAGGGCTCTCTGTTGAATTCCCTTGCTTCAGCTCTGTTGGGTTCTGCGGAGCTTTGGCAGGGAGGTTTAAGAAAGAGCTAGTATTCCACGATACCGGGCATAAGTGTCGCTCGTGCAAGCCTCCACCAACACCAAGAACCTGGCAAATGACCACTGTGGCTGAGCTGCAAAGGCACCCCTGAAACAGAGATGGTTCTATGCCTCTCGGAGGCTGGCAGGGAGTTATTTAATTGCCATTTTTGTTGGTATACACAGAGGTCTCTGTTCATGTAATTTATGTAAATGAATTCGCAGTTTGTGATAGACTCAGCTGTCTTAAAATGAATAGATAAACCAGAGAAAAAGGCTTGAAGGAAATGGAGTGAAGACATTCTTAAACTTTCCTAGAGAAAAAAATTACGGCTTTGTTTCATGGTCCTGTAGAGTGCCAGCAATGGGTGTGTTAATGATTAAGGAAAAAAACAAATACCGGGAACACTAACGACCCAGGTGGGTGAGAGAGTGATTTCCTAAGAGGAGGGGGAACGGGAAGAGGAGATGAAGCCTTAATTGGTAATGGGAAGAGAGGAGCAACTTCAGGGCAAAAAGTTACTATTACCTGCTGAAAACAGGCTTGGACAAGGTTCTCAGGGAACATATTCCTGTTGGAGACATGAAAAGCAGTATTATGATAAGGCAAAAGTGCTTTTTAAATTTTTTGATCATACCCCCAATACATTGGTGGAAATGAGTATACTATAGAATTAGTACCCTGGTTTCTCTTGTGCCATTGCATAGGACTTCCTGGCATTAAGATTTATTTCTCCCTGCTGAGCTTCAATCAAATATAGAAAGCTCTCCTAATCAACCATCACTTAGCTGACCACTGAGTAACTGCAGGATTTGCTTTCCTTAGGGAAACATTGTGCTGGCAGGTGGACAATCACAGGCAAGAGACTCCTTTAATATTCTGCACATTTCTGTTTTCACTGATAAGAATGTATGCTTACAAGAGTCCACTGTGTTTGTTCACAAATTCTTTATGGCAGTTGCAAATATCACTGTAATTACTGAATTAAAAATTACATAAACCAATGAAATATGAACATGAAAAGAAAGGAGTGGTTTCTATAAAGCCAAGCTGAATGTCTGAAAACTCAACCAAGGCAGTGACTAAAATGGTTGTGGTTAAATTAGGTATGGTGAGACAACTGAAATAGAAAGAAAAACTGGAAGGATTTGACATGCAGCTTTCTTTGCACTTCTAAGGCTTTTGTTTCTCCATTTCAATGAAACTAAAGCTGTAGATGATGCATTTACAAGCACATCATATGCAACAGAAATGATGTGAAATTATAATCAACTGACACACTAAAAAAACTGGCCAGGAAATGCTTGTAACCATTAAGTGTGAACAAAATATGTACTGTACATTTGTACTGTTTATTTTCTGCTTTAGTTCCTATGTTTTTATTAATACCAGTTTCCAGCCCTGATTGCTTCAGATAGAGGGTTTCTCCTGTACAATTAAAAAGTATATTTCTTCAGGTGTTCTTCAGAACTGACCACCCAGCCCAGCCCAGCCCAGCATCTTAATGCAACAGTGTGCTTTCTGCCTCTCTGTCCATCTCAAATTCTGACAGGGGTGTCTGCTCCTTCCAGTCTCTCTTGGGACCATGAGCTGGCAAGCAGGACTGGCTATGTAATTTGAAGGGCCCAGGGCAAATGGAAATACACAATTTAAAAATTATTAAAAATGTCAAATGGCAATAGCAGAGCATGAAACCAAGCACGGGGTCCTGTGAGACCACACAGACTGTAGGCCTATGAAACCCCCTGCTGGCCAGACACTCACCTGAGCAGGTCTAACATGGCATCCACTGTACTGACTTCAGGACTGCTGCCTGTCCTGTTAATTTCATCCACTTTCTGGGTGACACCAGGCTTGATGCTCACCACCAGCACGATACCTGTGGCCAAGGATGGCATCCACAGAGATTAAGAATGTTCCAGAGCACCTGGCCCTCCTAGTCCTTCCTTCTTAGAACCAACAGGCATGGTGGACTTGGCAATGGGGACCCTGAGGTCCAGCCAAAATGCTGAGCTTCAGCTGGGACCTCAGCAGTGGCCTTAAGTATCTTTCCATTTAAATGAGGCAGAGGGAACTCTTCCCATGTTTTTTTTTTTTTAAATGAAAGGGGCTGCATTCCAGAATTGCTTCTGTAAATACCTGTGATGAGAATATCCCTTTTCTCTTTTCTTTAGTTTATGATATCAGCCTAGGCAGGGGGTTGGAGGAAGGGTGATTAATTTTCCAACTCAGGACCCTTACACAGTTATCTTTCTCTAACTTTTACCCACAGATGCCACTTCTTTTTCTGAGGGTCATACAGAACAAGCTTTATGTTCCTTCCAATATGTGGAAAGTTGTTGTGTAACCCCCAGAAGGGTTAAGGTTAGGAAAAGTGTTCCCTGTGACTTTCAGTGGGTGGAATGAGGACAAATAGAAGGAATTACAGAGAGAGAGAGAGAGTTCTCTCTGTAAGAACTGCCTAAATGGAGAGCATCTGAAAGCACCATTTTTTGGCCTGTGGAAGTAATAGGTTCCTGTCTCTGGAGGTGCCCAAGCAGAGGTGGGAGGGTGTAGAAAAGACCAAGGTGGTTTAACTAGAGGGGAACGAAGAAGAGAAAGTCTTTGTGTCCTTTCTCATTCCTCCCAAGAAGAACTGCCAGGTCAAGGGGGTGGGACTTCAGGTGCTGAATGGGTAGTTTGCTAGCTGGAGAAATCCTCAGGCACAGAAGAGAGGGTCCTCTCGGAGCTTGCAGAAGATGTACGCCCAGCTTGTTTCTTTGTGTTGGCCTCCCTTAGGAACCTCAGGAGATGCTGCTGTGGTTTCAGGCAAGGTTCAGGCCCTCCTAGGTCTCCCCTGGCCTAATACCACTAAAACCTCACTACATGCTCACTACCTGTTATCAGTTCATTAGAGCGGACCCGCAGGGCTCCAGGCTGGCTGCAACATCTGAGGGCATTCTTATCCCCTCTACCCATGCTGGGCATCCTTCTTAAAATGTCACACTAGGTCACAGAGGATGGACCACACTTTCTTCACAAAAAAAAGGGCACAAGAACAGTTATATTCCCCTATTAGAACTTTCTCTCTTTTTTAAGTGTAATTTATACTTGATAAGACTCTCCTAGCTCTTAGCTCTCCATACTGTGTGACATTTGAAAAGCTCTGAAATGCTGTCTTTCTGGAAATAGTTTATAATTATACTCAACTCCACTATTACACACTAATTTTCCAGTTTAAAGATTATATAAGCTCTTGGCTTCACTTCCTTTTACCCAATGATCCTGAGGAGGCACAGACCTTTCAGGTCTGTCACCCCCTTTCTGTTTCTTATGAGAGACATCAATAAGTAGTACTATGGCTGAAATTCACTCAGTATTGTATTTTCTTCATATAAAAGAGGCTGTGCAGACTTCAAGTCCAAAAGTTTTATGGGAGTTTGACAATACAACTTTCTGAATTAAAAAACAAAGAACAGTGCATTTAAAAAAGGTCACCTACTTTTAAACAAAAGGTCACAACTATACAAAGAAATTAGGACTCAGAAATAAATTTTACCTAGAATTACAGCAATGAAAGTGGTACAGAAATAATATATGACGGCACGCACACCAATTTTTCCAGATACGTTGGAATCCAGTGAAGCAACACCTGAAAGTGGGGGAGAAGTCAGATTATATTAATTTTTTAAAAGATCCGTTCCCGAGAGTGGTGGTTCCCTTAATCTTCAAGTTGGGTAACGAAGAGCTGAGAGCCATGCTCTGCATCCACCAGGCCTGCCTCACACATTTCCTGGGTAAGATGCAGCGGGCAAAGCAGCACTTCAAAACTCCAAACACAGAACTTAGAGATGGGAGACCAGCGATGCCTCTGGCTGCCCCGGGGGCCTTTGGCTCCTCTCGGGAGTGGTCACGAGTCACGGGCCTGACTTCCCCTTCTCGGCTGCTCTCAGAACTTTATCCAGATTTGTACATTACATCACTCAACAGCCTTTATAATAAACTCCTTTTGGAATTCAGTATCAAGGAAAAGTATAATCTTGAAGAACTGAGATAGCTCTTTCCCCACAAAATGAAAATATAACTTGTGATGGTTTCCTTTTCTACCTTGTCTGTTTTAAAGCTCCAAGTCAAGTAGAAATATAGTTTTATTTGTGATTATAAAATATATGTTCATTATAATAATCTGCAAAGAAAAGAGAAAAAGGTAAGGATAAAAACAGAGTTCACTTCATCTCGTCAGCCATAGTTAATATTCTGGGGGATATTCTTCCAAAATTTTATCTTGAATTTTTTGTAAATCTAGCTGAGATAATTTTAGTTTTTAATCCTTTCTTCTTAATACTACATTATAAAGACTTTTTTCTTATTCTTGCAAATTCACCATGCAGATAATTTTAAGGGCTACATAATCTTCTGTCCTATGACTGTAACATAATGTATTTGATCATTCACTTACTGATGGATCTTCAGATAGTCTCAGAGCCAAATTCTTCTTCTGGCATATTTTCTTCTTGTTTTCATGACCTTTGAATTGCTTGTATGTTAACAACCTTATAGTGTATGGCTTTCATTGTGAGACACCTTAAAATTTCCATTTTTAAAATTTCTGATTTAAGAGACTTGCACTGCAACCTTGTCAGATCTAGTTTCAAATGGTCTTCAGTGGCCAAGAAAATGACTGAATGTTGCCTGGACTTGAAAAAGCTGTCTAGAATGCCAAGATTAGCTGTAGAGGTAGAAGACACGCATCTCCTTTTGCTAGAAACCTCTGTCTTCCATCAAGGATGCTTCTATAAATGGAATCAAATGGTGCTGCTCTCTAACTGGACTACTGGCACATGGGAGTCAGGGCAAATTAAGAAGCAACTAAATCAACTTTCAGCGAGCTGTCATTTGGAAGTTTCAGACTCTCCCCTGCCTGATTTCCAAAATGAGAATCACATTTTGAGTCAAATGATCATCATAGAAATGACTTTAAGTCTTAAACGTGTGTGAGTTGTCCCATGACCATTTAGTCTGAAGTACAGGGTAGTGGGAGAAATGAAGAGGCCGTGAGAGGCAACCCCAAGGAAAAGGTAGTGCCTGTCAGCGATCAGCATGCTCAAGAGCTTTTATATTCGCCCCTCACACTATAAAAGGCCTATCCATTTTTCTAAGAGTGACAAGGATTCTGCTCCTCACATATAACTGTACATACCTGATATACAGGAAAAAAATTGCTAAGGAAGTTAATCATTGTTATGCTGAGAGTGAGTCATCTCTCCACACCACTCCTCCAGCTGCTGCTTGCCCCTTTGGGAGTTAATGTTTTGAGAGAAGGGGCTCTGGCCATCTCATGGCCGCCTGGCGTATTGTTAAGGGCCTATTCACCAACCCCCGGGACAAGATTATACAGTGATCATATGATGGGCATATTGCAACAATCACATCCTAGAATAACCTTGATGATAGTTCTATTCTCTCTCTCTCTGGGAAAAACATGGTTTGGTGTGCAGAGAAAACTTTCTCTTCCCAATGGCAAGACAGTTAAAAAAATTCTGCCAGAAACAATAACAACAAAAAACCCAAGAGATACTGAAGGCCACAATTCAGAAATGAATGAACTATCTCATATTTAGTTTGGTCTCTTAAAAAAAGAGCAAACAATAATGCAAATATGGAAGGTTGCTAAATATATTATATAACTATAAAATGTGCTCATTCCATTTTAGAGCTCTGTGCATTATTTTGATAAATAAAACATTTGTTACCAGCAATGGTAGGTTAAAAAAAATCAAGAAAATCACCAATTGAACAGAATTCCAAGTAACCTGTATGAACACATATGACTCTCACCTAATAGAGGTTGTATTGTATTTTCAGATACATTGTCCTTTGGTAGATGTCCAATTTAAGCATCTCCAGGCCCTTAAGGTGTTGACAAGTGATAGGCTCACAGGGAAGCTACAGAATTATTCTTTGGTATGCATTTCATGCCCTCTCAGTATTTTCTTCCAACAGTGAAACAAATTATATCTGTGTGGGTAATTGTTTCTAGCATATGTTAATATGTCTTAATTTGTCTTAATGATTTGCCATGGGCTGGTGCCTCTGCTTCTATCCCAGGGCCCAGCTGGCAATAAAAGCCTTTATAATAATGAGATTCTTGGTGGAAATATTTTAAATAAATACATCTCCTAAGGCTGTCAGCTAGCTCCTCTCTGCTGGAATGCAGCAGCTCTCTTGTAGTTACTTTCCAGAAGAGCTCTTTTTCCCAATTCCTCAAATCTACCTCAGTCCTGGAATTCTCCTGGATACATAAGGACTGCAATCAAATCAACAATCGTACTTCTCTGTATCTCTAGACTTACCCCTCTACCTCTCCAGCCATTACTGCCTGGGGGCAGAGCTGGCCCCCCAGATCCAGGCTCTTGGACAATTTACAATGCAATGTTGAGAGGATGGGGTGGTGACCACTGTATAGGGAAGGAACATAAGCAGGGAAACAGCCTAATCTTTGAGATTCCATAATAGGGACATTATTGAACTTAACATGAATATAAAATGCCTGTCTGGATGGCCACCGACCTGCCAATAAGAACGATGATGATGATAATTATAATAAAACTGTTGACAATGATGACAATAGACACTGTATTGAGCAAAGGCTGCATGTGAAGTGCAGTATCTCCTCTGATTCTCACTGTAAGCCCACCAGGTAGGCATTCTCATTCCCATTTTACAGAGGAGAAAACTGTGACTCAGAAACATGCCACAGCCCTTAGCTGGTGAGTGGCAGAGCTGGGATACTAAGTCAGGTTTGACCTCACAGGCCATTATTCTTAACCACTCTGTCATACTGGCTGTGTCCATGTGCTACAAAATTTTAGAGCAGCGCCGCTTAATATAACTTCCTGTGATGGTGGAAATATTCTCTCTCTGTGCTGCCCATGGCAGTAGTCACAAGCTCCATGTGGCTAGTGAGCACCTGAAACGTGGCCAAAATGACTGAGGAGTGAATTTTAATTTTGCCTAATTTTAATTAATGTCAGTGGCTAATGGCTATCATATTGAGTAGCACAATCTCTAGACCTTACCAGTGTCCAGCAGTTAGCGGGTGCTCAACAATGCTGAATGAACAAACTCAAGGTTAACTCCATTGCAAAATTCAATACAGCATCTACCTGGCCAGCTCAGGGCAGGGGAGAGGATGGTGGTAAACATACCCTCCTCATCTTCTGGTATGCACTTCTATCACCGCATTGACCTTAAGGCTGAGGCTTATTCTTCTCTGGGTCCTCAGTGCATTAAATGAGGCAGGTGCTTTCTGAATTTTTTACTTGATGTTTTCTATGTGACACAAAGAGCACTGCTTTTTAAAGAGGTACAAACTTCCAATTATAAAATAAAGAAGTCACAGGAATGAACGGTACAGCATGGGGAATATACTCAATAATATTGTAGTAACTTTGTATGGTGACAGATGGTAACTACCCTTAACTGTGGTGGGCATTTTGTAATGTATATAAATTTCCAATGACTATGTTGTTCACCTGGAATTAATATAATATTATGTCAACTGTACTTCAGTTTAAAAAGCTGCACTTTCACAGGTAGTCCTCTCCTTACAACATGAGCCCATTTCAAAGATCTACTGGTGCCGAAGGTTAGGAACTTAGCAGGTGTCTCCTTAGAAACCATCTGCACGGGGCCACTGGTTCAGCCCTAGGGTGGCCGGGAAGAACACTTCTCACTGACAATAGATCTCCACGTGAGAGTATTTAGCATCTTCAGTGTTTGTGTACCTTGGTTTCTTTTTATTATGGTGTATGCCAACCCCGCCTTTTAGAATTTTTTTTTCCTAATGGACATCCCCATGAAATTTTAATACCATAGACAAACTGTATATCTGTTTATGTACTAAATGTATGCATGTACTTTTTACATAAAAAGAGTAAGTTTCTCCCCCTCAGCCCAAAGAACCAGCTGTTGCTGCTTGGGGGCAATATTGCTCCTGCTGGGAACATGGGGTCCAGCTCAATGGATACTGTTGTGGGAACGGTTCCTCAACCCAGATGCTGGACTCCGAAGACGGCACCTCCCATCAGTTCCTCAGTCACACTGGACACATGTCCAGTGCTCACAAGCCACACAGAGCTTGTGGCTACTGCAAGGGGCAATACAAGTGAGAACATTTCCAGGAAGTTCTACTGGCCAGTGATGTTCTAGAATTTTGTAGCACGATAGAGCCATTATGACATAGTGGTAAGAATACAGCACCTGTTACTTGGGTAAGGTCAGGTGGCACACTGACCTTAGTCCCAAACTGGTGACAGCTGACATATCACCATGCTTTATCCCGGGCTTTTACTCTCAGTTGCCACCTGGATTACTTGCTTTCAAGCCATGCCTCATGCTTGGTAAAGTCTAGAGGGCCATTGCTCTTTACAGTCAACTCCCAGAACTCATTTCTTCTGGGAGCCAACACCTGCCCTCTGGGAGTTGGTAAATGACAGGGGACTGTGCACTAACCATTACAAAGCAGGTGTGATGAGATCTTCATAGAAATCTACAGTGTTTGAAAACATAGCAACTGGAAAAGTAATTTAATGTCTTGTGAGTGTAATAACAATAGGGATAGCATTTTGTATGTCTTTGTTTTTTAATCTT